GAAAAGGGATATGGCTGAATAGAAGAGGTCCTTTGAAAAGGATTTCTGGTAACACGGAAGAAGAAAAAGTCTCAAATCATGGTTCATCACAGCACAGTGTAGAGTTAAAGTTGATCCAGTGTAGGACAACCTCATATGTTCCATACTCTTCCTACAGATGGTACTTTTGACAGGATCTCAAAGGATCCTTTTCTGAAAATCCTTTTGTTTATGCTGAGAGCTTCATTTGCCTTGAACGTAGTTTTAGAAAAGATAGCCATATTAGTTTGTGCTGGCATATCAGGCTAGCATATTTTGCCTGTTTTGCCTTGAAGGTCATTATGAAGTGTGTGGCAAATAGAGAAGCTGCCACTGGAGTGTGAATGCCTCTCTGAAAGTGCCTATTTCTGTCTGAATTATCTGCTGGACTCAGTCATCTGCTAACCCTGTGGCCTAAGGGATATGATTATATGGAGCAGTGATTCTCACTTCCCCTCTTCATTGGGGGCAGGGGCAGGATCCAGTCCTGGTATCAGGAGATGTTGTCCTGTTGATAGCTTACTGTCAGTAGCTGTTGACAGCCTACAGTATTTGTTCCAACTTTTTGATTCTATTGTTTACCCATTCCCCAAATGACAAGTTCAGTCATTAGGACAATAGCCAAATCTGAACCTTGAATATTAAAATGGAAAGCTAATACGATTTTGGAAAGCCATTGGGATTTTGTTAGAAATGCTATCTACAGAGAAGTAAATGGAAGGAGGAGGAGAGCCACCAGCTCATTCACAGGAGTCCTATGTCAGTGGTGTATCTAAAACTGAAAATATTTCATGTTTGAAACTCTTAATATACAAGGTTATTAATGATCTTAAAGATTTCTGCAGATCTGGGAGATATAGAAAAATGAATTTATACCAAGGATTGAGAGTGTGGTCCTCGAAATGTTGGTGGGGGAGATCAAATCTCTGGTCTCCTTCCTTATTCTTTCTCCCTATAGGCCAGTGATGGCAAACCTATGGCATGCGTGCCACAGCTGGCACACGAAGCCCTTTCTTCTGGCACGCAACCAAACCTTTAGAAGTGGCTGCAGCTGGGATTCCCCCTTTCTCTTCCTGTTCTGGGTCCTTTAACTTCCTATCCATCCCCATGATTCCCCTGAAACTGCCACTTCCTGTTCCAGTTCTAGTTTTCCAGGTGGCACAGCAGCCACTGGTTTCTTCCCCTCCCCCTCATTTTGGGCACTCCAGCCGAAAAAGGTTTGCCTCCGCTGCTATAGGCCTTGTGTTTCAAGAATCCAAAAGAAAAGAAATAGCATTCATTGTGGGAAAATTCTCTCTCCCCCCTCCATCAAATTAGGAAACACAAGACCATATATAGTAGCCTAGTTACTGAGAGGCAGGTCCTGTTCTCTTGTTTCAGAATGTGACTTGTAAATGGTTCTGTACTGGGTAGTTGTTAATATCAGGCTTAGGGGCAGACGTGGTCCAGTCCAGAACAGTATAATTTCCCCCTTGTCTTCATTGTTGGAGTGGATGTGTTCCCCATTGTGTTAAAACTCTTTGATGTTCTAAAATTGCCAAGAAAGGTACTGAAATTGCCAAAAAAAGGTAATGATCAAAGCAAGGAGAGGCTTGCATTTCAGCAGGCCCTGGTGAAGGGCCTCACTCAAAATGGGAAAAGAGCAAAGCAACTGTTCCCACATTTCACTGGTTCAGCTATTTGGACTTGCAGGCCAGCAAGCAGAGAGTTGACCACTGAACTCCCTTGATAACTGCCCGCTAACAGACTGTGCAGAAACCCCAGGAGCAAACTATTCTCAGTTCTGGGCCCATGATGAGTGTGGGAAACTGACCACCCACTGCTTGGATGGGACAAGCATCGAGGTTCTTTGGCATGAATGTAAGAAGAAATATTGTGGAAGGGAGAGACTGGGTGTCTTATAATACAATCTTGGGAGATTACTCATAACATTGTCAAAACATCTTAAAATGGGTAAGATTTTATTATATGTAGTATTGCAAGATCTCATCCTTTGTCCATCCTCTGATTCATTATCAAATGAGGCAGTCTCAGAGTATAACATAAGAAAAGAAAAAGAGAGCTGGAGTTTATCCTGCTAATTGTTATGATTTTACTAATATTTCTGAACTAACATTGTGTGATTTTTTTTCAAGAGTTTGATGCTGGTCTGGCTCACTTGCCATGAACTTCACAGTGAATCGAGAGTAAATCCATCTGGAACCCTCATCATCCTCTGGCCTCAGATGCTTATAGTTACGCTGAAGCTGCCTTAATCTTGAATTAGATGGGTCCATTGATTGGGCAACTGATAGTTATCCAGATGTTGAACTGCACATTCTGTCATCTGGCTGTACTGGGCAGGGCTGATGAGACTTGTAGTCCATCAATACCTGGAGGACCACAGACAATTCCTTCCTATTCCAGTGGTTTAACAGTTCTTCAGGGTGTGAAATAGTGATCTTTCCAAAACCTTTTATCTGAACATGCTTGAAACAAGTTGTCTGGGGTTGCCATTGGTATCTTGTACATTCAGTGTACGCTGAGCAATGTGATTGGCCATTTCCCAGAAAAACTAACTTTGATGGGCCATTTCTAGTAATTACTAGTAAAAAATTAAGTATAGATTTTCCTGTGGAAGAGGGCTACTACTTAGTAGGAAAGGACCAATATACCCTACCATTATTATGGCAGCTGAGGCTTATGAAACCCAGTGCCTTTATGATGATTGGTCCTGAACTTCAGATTCGTCTGTCTGATGTTAAGATACCTATATCTTTATTGAGTTTCCGTAAAGGATTTAAAATCTTCCTTTTTCAGTGAGGATTTGGATGCTTCTGTGTATTTTGGCTGGTTTGGTTTTATTTTTGAGTTTGTCTTTATTTGTTGTTGGTGTTGTTTATCTTAAGAAGTCTGACTGTCAACTGCCTTTTGTTATGTAATTGGCTCATATAGAACTTGGCTAGGAAGTAGAAACAGTTTATCTGTACAGCAGCCCATGTGTGTGTTTGTTTCTATGTGGATTTGTTTGCTTGTCTCATTGATAGCTTCATATTTCAAAAGGTGGAAGAAGACAAGAGAGATTTGATGCCCTGGACTTAAATAGAAAAGGGTCATTTGTTGAAGTGAAGGCTTTTAGGCAGCTCTGTATCAGCCAGAGTGTGTAATCTAATGGCACTTTGTCCGTGGGTTTGGTCCACTTTGGAAACAGGAAAAAGGATAAAGGTATTATCCCTTTTCCAGCAACCACACGACATATGGGCAACTGCAGACCAGGCCAGCCCTTTTCCTTGCTTACCTCCACCTTTTTGGGTCCCTGTCAGGAAATACTGTTTTTGTCGCGCTGGCAGGATCACTTCATTTTGGTTTGGTTCTAGCATGTGTGATCGCTGGGACTGAATTAAAGTGGGTGAGTGGATGTGCCTTTGCTTAACTATTGAAGGATCTGAACTAGTTATTAATAAATTGAATACTTCTTCCTGCTCTCTCATGGAGGGGCAGACAGAAGAGGCTGCAAAAACAAAAAAACAAAAAAACTGTTTTTAAGGCCATGTAATCCAGTGCTGAATTGGTTGATCCTCAGTTCATTTCAGTGTGATGGCACTTGGAAATAGTTTTTTAAAAACTAAAAGCTTCCTCCTGCTTCTCCATGGAGGGGAAGACAGGAAGGTTCAGTGGGGTTTTTGTTCTTTCCTCCCTCACTCCCTTCCTTTAAAGGGAGGAACAGGCTAAATAGAGATGCTTGAGATACAATGTGATTTCCTGTGACTAAACCACCTGATCCTTGGGACATGCGAAGATTGTCCCAATGACATATCATATATCCACATCCCAAAGTGACCCTATTTAGGATTATTCAGCCCAGAACAATCTGACAGTCTAGTAGCACTGTCAGTCTGTAAGCATCAAGAAAATAATTAATTGGTTACTATCCATCACCATGGATTTGTCAGGTATAAGTCATGCTAGACCAGTCTTTACTTTTATCTGAAGGCAGTGGTAGTTTAGTTAGTAGATAGATCCTGGTGATGCTGTGGACATGGTGGTTAGACTCCTGATGCTTTACACAGTTGTGACTGAAACCGTTTGGCATACTACATTAACCTAGAGTATGACCGCTGAATCATACTCAGCGGATTTGGTGAGTCAGCTGTTTCATAAGCTCCATTCGACATTAACCTAGAGTATGACCGCTGAATCAGTGCGGATTTGGTGAGTCAGCTGTTTCATACTCCATTCATACAAATGGACCTACTCTAGTTGTGGCCTACTTTGCTAAAGCAAGTAAACTAGAGTAGGCCCATTTGAATCAATGGAATGTATGAAGGAGTTGACTCACCAAGTCCCCACTGATTCAGTGGTCCTACTTCAGTGCAACTTACTATGCTAGGCAGCAGATTTCAGGCTAAACTAGTCAGGCTGCATATGGATTATTTGAATCCTGTTCTAAACATCACATTTTGTCAAGGGTATTGACAAATTAATGCATCCAGAGAACAGCAACGAGAAAAATGAAAGTTCCAGAAGCCAAGTCATGTGAGAAAACAGTTGAGAGAGTTAAGTCTGTTTAGCCTGAAGGGAGAAGATTAAAGGGGGACATGGTAACAGTCCTCCAGTGTCTGAAAATCTCTCATTCAGAAGATGGAGCGTATTTGTTCTCTTTTCCTCCATGGAGCAGGAGTAAAACCTGGGTAGAAGCTTAAAGGCAGCAGATCTTGGCCTGATATTAGAATCAACCTTCTAATAGCGAAAATGTTTTTGCAGTAGAACAGGCTGGTGATGGCACTAATTATCAAAACGTATTTCACCAGAAACTGGACAGCCATTGCTTACAGATACTGCAGCTGCCTTGCAGAGCCTGTAGTGAGCAGGAGTTGGAAACTGATGATCTCTGAGGTCTCTTCCAATTCTGTGATTCTGCATGTGGGAGGGGAATTGTCCTAGGATCTAGGAAGATGTTTTCGTTGCAGTGACTTTTGGCTGTTTTTTTTCTCCCTTTGTAGAGAAAGTAATTAATGGTCAAGACTATGAAGTCATGATGCAGATAGACTGTGAAGTGATGGACACCAGGATCCTGCACATCAAAAGTTCCTCCATCCCTCCCTATCTTCGAGATCAGCAGAGGAATCATACTACGGCCTTCTACAATACTCCTCTAACTGTCCCAGAGGCAGCTCCTGCTGTGAGAGCATACACAGAATCCCCCCAATAGCCTCATGTCAGAAATCATGATATAATGCCCTGGAGAGGTAGTTGCCCCTACTGACCGTTATTGGTTTACCGTGGCAGCATCCAGCCTCAGGCAAGAGAACTTGCCTACTGTCAACACAAGGCTACTGGATCTTCCTGGGGGGAAAGGAGATTTCATATGCTCTCAGTCATGTCCATAAGATGACTCCAGATCTAGTTCTTCTAAAAGTTCCCAGTGTCGTTGGTATTGCTTTTCAGTTCTCCAATAGTGTGCTTAATCCTTGCTCAGGGTTTAAAAAAAAGTCTGGAGTGTGGGTCCTTTATTATTTCTCCAATGAGGCAAAAAAAAGAAAGAAAGAAAGAAAGAAAGAAAGAAAGAAAGAAAGAAAGAAAGAAAGAAAGAAAGAAAGAAAGAAAGAAAGAAAGAAAGAAGGCATGCCAATTTTTTGGAATATATTTGAAATGTGGGTCTCTCAAGACTCTGCCATGTGGAGTATTAGCTTCCAGTGTTCCCTTTATAGTCTTATTCAGTGTCTGGACAACTGGGATATCATAAATAAGCCTTTCCAAAAAACTGGGATATTGTTTAACAAATGTCTAACTGTGGCACAGTTGTCACATAGGACACTGATATTTTGGTGGTAACCAACTTTAATCTAGCATTCAGGTGTATGAAGTATCATTACTGGGAGCATTCAGTCTTTGCCTCCCTAGTAAATCTGTAGAGCTTTGGAGCACTGTCTCACGTGTAGCAAGATACATCCTGGAAGCACCCATTGGCTGTAACACGTGACCTCAATAATATGTAGGCTGGAATAATTTCTACCTTCTCAGAAGATGGGTGAGGGAATGCCTAGCAATTCAGCAAGCTGAGAAGTCTATCAATGTCAGTTAAATTATTTCAAGTGCCAGGACAATAAGAACAGGTTCATTGTCTTTCCCCATCCTTTCCTGCTCCATTGGAGCACTTGGGTGTATCAGATACCCATATTGGGTATGTAGTAGTACAGTAGTAGTTGTTGTAGGTGGGACAAGTACTACTATAATACTAGTACAGTAGTAGTTGTTCCACCTACTAGCTTCTGATAGGCAGGAAATGAATAACAAATCATAATTCTTCAGGGCTCCCTCAAAAGGATGAGGCAACCCTGAAGAGACAGTTTCTTGTGAGCCACCATAGAAACTTCGAGATAGAATAACAACTCAGAACCCAGAAAGAGAGAAACTTCCCTTAGATAAAAATGGACTGCAACCAACATTCCCTCTAATTTTCCACCAGCACTAAACAGAAACCCCACCCCATGTGCACAAAGTTCCAGCTGCAGCTGGAACCAAATGAGTGGCAACACTAACTGCAGATGGCACCAATACAGCACTGTGCAGCCATGCACCCACACAGCTTAGAGCAGTGGTCCCCAACCTTGGGCCTCCAGATGTTCTTGAACTGCAACTCCCAGAAGCCTTCACCACCACCTCTGCTGGCCAGGATTTCTGGGAGTTGAAGTTCAAGAATATCTGGAAGCCCAAGGTTGAGGACCACTGGCTTAGAGGGAACATTGACTACAACTAAATACCAAAAAAGGGTGGGATATACATAGAACAATAAAAGTAAACCATTACAGTGATAAAAGCCAACACTACAAAGGAAAACCATTGAACTGCATAAAATCCTTGTAATAACAAAACAAGAATATTAGGTAGCAAGGTTAAGAACCTTATTAAAAACAATTGTTAATCAGAGCTTAAAAGTCAATGGTGGTGCATTGAAGTTTCCCAAAAAGAGAGGTGCTGCCACCAAAAAGGCCTTCCTTGTGACATCATGCTTTGTCTTCCCCAGCAGGTTGCACTCAGAGAAAGTACGCATTTTCTTCTCTTGATTAACTTCGTGTTCCCCACTCACAGTTGCTTCCCTGTTGTAGCTGCATAGTATAAGTTCCTCAGGGAAGGACCTCTTTGCTTTAGTCACCCTGTAGAGTGTTGTGTATATCAGTGTCACCAGGAGGATGACAGTTATTGATGCTCTTACTTATCCATAATGCTGAGAAACAACTGTGTTTGTCTGAACCAAACACGATGCTAGAATACAGCTTGTATTTATTTAACTGGAATTCCATGGTCTCTTGATGGCATCCCAGTAAGCTTTCAGTCTTCAGGGATGAAGTGATTCTGCTGCTTTTATTTTTGCAGAGGAATGCTTCTTTGATGCCTAGTGGGGGTTGAGTAATGTTTCATAAACATTCTTTTATTAAGGAAGGCGTTGTTCATTTGGATGCTAAGGCCCTTTTGTATTCCTCCATCATTTGGTTGGTCCCTGTAGACATTCTTACAATATACAATTCAGTACTGGTGGAACTAAACATAAATGTTTTTGGAAGGGCAGTAGGGCTTTTGAAGAGGTTTTGGTGCAAATGTATTTTAAACGTTGAGCACAATCCAGTGGGATTTGTTCCACACTGGTTCACTTATATAATATGATAATGGAGCATTCTTGATGCCACCAAACATTTTCTTTCCCTATGGATTATGGCAGAGGGTTGGAGGGTGTATGTGAGCTCATACTGAGTTTTTAGCCCCACCAAACAAATCAGCAACAAAACTAGGCACCTGCTGTTTCCTCTGTCAATCAGAATGGCTCTGAAGAAGTTGGCCTAAGATGGGCAGATTTGTCCTGATCATGCCTCATTGCAGATGGCCTGCTGTTCTGCAGCTCTGCTGTTTTCTTCCTTCATCATCTTGTACAGGGAACAACTGCTACAGAATTCTGTTGGAATTATTATGGGGACAAGTAGTATTCACGACTGGATGAACTACAACCATGTTTTATTTGGCTATTAAAACTGTGTCCTGGTTTATTAGAAATCTGTATTTGTTTGTTTGTTTGTTTAATATCCCCTTCTTGATTTCTTTCACCTTTAGTCTAGTGAACTGCAAAAATTGTTGGGAAGGGGTTTTTTTTAGCTGTTCTTGTGCCTGCCTTGGTCCTATCCACAGTTGGCCCCCTGCCTTTAGCTTAGTAGCCACTCAAGTTTACTTTTCCCCCTGCTATGTTGGAAACAAGATGTTCACAGAACAAACTCTCCTTCTTTAAAAACAAATCCTACATCTCAGTAACAGAAACAATTACATGGGCAGAAAAACCATTGGAACCGAGTACAGAGGGTAAAGTTATGTTTTTCCCCCATGGCGAGGGGACACAGGCAGGCAGTAGATGTGTTAATATTCCCCAACAAGAATAAAGTGGCATCTTACACATTGTATTGGATCCAGTTTTAGTCATGCTCAGAGCAGACTGAAATCAGTAGAGCAAGTTAATCAGCACTCAATTTACATTTATTTCATTTGGTCCACTGTAAGAATGATGAAGGTTTCATCCAACTCACTTACTAGCAAGTTCAATTATTTCCTCATTTTCCCAGAATTGTTTTATTTTCAAAATGTGGACTAGAACATTTATTTATTAGCTTTCTATCCCATCCATCTAGACCAAGGGTCTACTCTGGATGCTTATTTCTACTGTTGTATACACTGTTTGGAGAAGGGCAGGATGCACTGTTGGAAGTCATGTGTATTTCACCTTGGATTGGACTGGAAGCATCCTGCATCCAGGATGTCGGAATCAGAGACTGATAAACTGTGACTCTTCTGTGCTATGTAAAGTTTAACTTAAAACTTTAAATGGAGAACTGTGGCTTTTGTTTTTAATGTCTTCATCTTATTGAAAGCCCACATTGCAGATCTAGCAAATTCAGGTGCTTGACAAAATTGGATCCAAAACCGACAGACAGATAAAGATGTGTGCCTGCAAGATCAAATGAATCCTAATGTATAAAAATATTTTTAAAATGTTTAGACCTAGAAAGGGAGCACATACCCAAAAACTAGCTCAGTGAGAATTGTTGGTGGTTCGTGGCTTCCAGAAGCTTCAGAACCTTCAGCTGGAAAACAAAAACAGAAAACTGGGCAAAGGGGGTTGCCCTGCTTGAGTCCTTAACATTCTAGAGCAGGGCACAGCACGCACAAGGAATTGGAACATTCCTACAAAGACAGGCAGCAACATTATGCTGCAGGTCTCTTGTATCTTCTGCAGTTTGCTCCTACATGCCAGTCTGTTCACTTTGTCTGAAACAACTTCAGTCACATTAGCTGGAGGTGCGTTGTGAAAAGGACAATTGTGAGGGGAAAGGGGAAACAGCCCGTTTGAAAATCATGGCTTTTTTACTTGGGAGAAGCCAGGCAGAGGCTGAGACTGGCAATCATCTGGGTAGAGGGTCTAACTCTACAGTCATACAGTGGTGCCTCGCAAGAAGATTGCTTCGCATAACGATGAATTCGCTTTACGATGAGGTTTTCAGAGCGGTCTTGTGCTTCATTTAACGATGTTTCCTATGGGCGATTTTCGCTTTACGATGTTAGGAACCTTGCCTCGCAAGATGGTTAAATTTTAGGTCCGAGTTTTTCACTTTACAATGTTTTTGACAGCTTGGCCTTGCTTCGCTATACGAGTCTTTTAATGGTCTGTTTTGTTAGATGGCTGTCTTCGCTTGGGAACCGTGTTTCGCTTAATGATGTTTCCTATGGCGAGGCACCACTGTATTTTCATCTCTTTTCTTGCCTTTGGTGAGCATTTGGCTAATAATAAATAATGAACGTGCTCAGGAGGGTATATCATGACATTCTCATTTGGTACATGGCAGTTCTAAGGGGTCGGGACGTCTGTGCTTTCTGGATGCAGAAACCATGGCACTGAAGGGGACCTGAATCTCAGTTAGTACAATCAGCTGCCAGTGCAGAAAAATTGCAGCTAGAGCACCAATGAGTGGCCATCCGGCCTCAAGAGAACCTTCAGTGAAGGAGGTACAATAAGGCATTCTTTGATAGGCTTAGTATTTCACCTCCACTTTGTTATGACATATATACATACATGAAGCTGTTAGTAGTACACAGTCAAAGCAAAGTCCCAGCAATTCAACAGGAGACAGAGATTAATGCACTTCCTTCACAGGCTGCTTAAGGTTTCGTTACACAGGAACAAGTCATTTATTGAATTGAAAGCTTTTGAGTATTATTCAAGATATCAACACTGTTATTTTTGTTGTATGAATGAAAAATTTTATTGATGTTACCAGCATCAACTTTATCAGGTCTGATCTGTTGCCTAGATTAAGCAATGTGACTAGATAGAAAAGTGACCCCAAAAAACAAACAAAAACTCCAGAAACTCTGTTTTTGCTGAGTTTTAACATTGATATTTTATTATAAAAAAATCACCATTTTTTTGTTTTCTTACCCAAAGTGTTAACTCTTGTATTAAAATGATAAGAAAATGGGATGAATTTCTTCGTCATGGATTCTGCGCTTGGCAGGTGCTAATGAAGAAATATTTTCCATTCTCTACTGGGAGGCAGCATATTCAGTATAAAAAACAAAAGCAAGATACATCCAAAATAAAATGACTGACTTTGGCATATGGACTGATCTACAATCCACTTATTTTTTAAAAAGGTACAAAACTGACAACCACATTCTCTTTGATTTGTACAATAAAAATATTTATAAAAAAGGTGCAAGTGGCCCATTAAAATTACCCCATTCTGTCCTCAGTAAGCAAAAATGACATTGTAAGTAACTTGATGGCCATTGTCCCAAGCGTAAAGGAGCCGATCCTTGGGGTTATAGTCTATCTGCGTAGTGTAGGAGTATTCATTCTCAAAAAGCAGGCGGGGGATAATCTGGGTGTTGGTGTGTGTATCAAATGCATATGAGATATTGGCATTCTTCTTATTATAACTGTCAACAGCATAGAGAACACCACAGATGACAAAAGAATTGCCATAGAAATTCTTGCGCAGGCCTGTCCGCCAAGTGGTCTCCTTCTGAGTGCTCAGATCCATGGCATTAAGTTTGCTGAGGACAATCACTTCTTGGCTGAAGCCTTCATAATTAATGGCTGGGTAAATTATCCACAGGCCATTCTCATCCACTGCAAAATCCACATCAGAATGGCCACGCCACCGCCAAGGTGTCTCCTCCTCATACGCTACATCATGCAACATGGCCCAGGCAGCCACGTAGCGGTGCTTCAAGTCATATTTGATTAGGTTGCGCGTGAAGGCCCGATTGTAATAGAGAGAGCCATTAAAGACCGCATGGCCTGTCCCCATCCAACTATAAGGCAGTTTATAAGAGTTACTCCATCGGCCTAGGAAGCAGAGAAGATGTAATCAGTTGAAGAATAATCTGAGGCTACCTAAATCTGTATGCTCATCTGTTTTCTGTTGAGATCCAGTTATGCACCTTAGTACTCTCAGTAGATTGACATTGAATGAGCAGGGTTTCAGACACTAACTGGAATTGCCAGGGGTGTAATCAGGAGCAAAGTGCTCGTCTTACAGAGGAGGTGTGCAACTCTAGGGTGCAGTGCTCATCCCCGTCTCCAAGCCGTAGTGCCAGCATTTGTCCGAGGACAGTTTCCGTGGTCATGTGGCCAGCGCAACTAGACACGGAACACTGTTGCCTTCCCACCGTTGTGGTACCTATTTATTCACATTTACATGCTTTCGAACAGCTAGGTTGGCAGGAGCTGGGACAAGCGACGGGAACTCACTCCGTCGCATGGATTCGATTTTACAACTGCTGGTCTTCTGGTAATCTGGGATTACTTGCATGTAAACATATGCTCTGCCACTAAACTACATCCCTTCCCTGTAATTAAGATACACTGTAAATACACCAGAAACTGAACTTTCCTCTGTAAAAATTATTTACTAAACAGTTCCTGACTATTCCATTCTCACCAAATAAAAAGCAAGTACCTGATAACTGTATATTATTTTAGTCTTGGATACTTGCGTTTTACTAGATTAATTAAATTTTATATTAAATTTCTGATTTAAAATTTAAGATTATGAACAAATTTCAAATATGTGTCGGCCACGAAAAGTCTATTAAGAGTGCTACCTGACATGTTTTATACTGACTGCAGAGGCAAGGAAAAGGATTATTCCTCTAGGCACATGTGGGCAAACTGTCTGGCATGCTCCTATTTAATGCTTCAGTCGATGCTTTACAGGCTTTTAGGTCTGCTTGTCTTTCCCTTGTTGGAAGAATCTTCAGCCAGCCATCCAGAACCAGACAGTAACGAGAAGCAGACCTTTTCTGAAGGTCCCTTCAGCTTCCCCAGGAGAAAGTGGAAGACTGTCCTCCTTAAGGAGGAGGGAGCCCATGTCCAGAGTCAGAAAGTGAAGCAAGGGCCTCCTCCACGCCAAAGATAAAATGTGCACAATAAAATCAGAATACAGCCTGCAGGAGCAAAGTGCTCGTCTTACAGAGGAAGCACTCTCAGCAGTAGGTGTTCTCCTTGACAGCAGCATCTTCATTCTAGGGGAAATGGTGCTGAAGGGCTGATAGCTGAGCTCTAGGTGGTCTCCAGGCCACTTCAGCTACAAAGCTGCACCTCCAGGTTGCAGGTTGGAGGTGCTGCTTGAAGCACTATCTTGCTTGGATGTCTGTCTTCCAAACCCTGATTGCTACTGAATATTTTGCTGTATGCAACCTTGGACACAGTTACCGTGTTTTTGCTGTGTAATTGTCTGGATTTGTACCTGCTTACTGGCCCAAGACCATTTGACCTTGGTTGGGCTTTGGAATCCCTGCTTAAACCCTGCAGCTGACTCACAGAACTTCGCTGTATCTCCGACCATGGCTTTCAGCTGCCTTTTCTGAACTGGGACTGAGTTGCTCTTCTAACCTTTGACTCTGAACTTTACCTCCAGCACACAATACAGGATTTCACCGGAGCAGCACTGGGACACCTCTGTTTCCAAGCCTTCCTAAGCATGAGATTGCCTAGTTATCATCCACTCTTCTTAAATATATTCCATCTCAGCTCCACCAAACTTCTAAACATCCAGTATTGCATCTAAGCTTTGTTAAGGAAGCCTCAAGTCCTTCCATAATGCACCCTTGTTCAGAGCTTAGAAAAATTATTTTTCTTAGATTACAACTCACAGAACACCCTAAACAGTAGCCATGCTGGCACTGGAAGCTGTGGTCCAAAAAAGTTACTTTTTCCAAGCTCAGCCCCCCTAACCCACCATCTCCCCCACTACTAAGCACCATGACATTGTGTCCTATAGCAAATGACATACCTTGTTTAAAGCTATCCAAATTCCGGAATTCCACCAGGGTGTTGCCATAGTAATAGTTGGTGACATAGATTCGCTCATCCTTGGCAACTGGATCCTTCATCCAAGCACCTTCATTTCGCCCATAGGTATTCTGGATCACAGGCCCCGAGATGGTGGACAAAGTGTCTTTGCACTGGCCTGTTTAAATAAACAAACCAAGAAGGCAGCAGATAGTCTTAACAATAATACCTAGCATTGTATATAGCACCTATATTAAAGCATTTTTATAACAACCTTTTAATTAAGGCCAGTTATCTCACAATTACAAACTGGAGTACTAAAGCTGACAGGTCCTGGTTCATTGCTACTAGGTAGTTAGAATTAACCGAAAAGAGAAGGAACGATTTACCATGGAGGAGTGGCAGACAGGAGATAACCTTTCTCCCCACTGTTTACCTTTCCCCAGCAAATCTGTTCCTCACTGGTGCTCCCCCTGCAAAAAAATGGGTAGCACGTGGAACTGATATTATCTGCAACAGAACATTATGTTATGTATCGGGCAATTAATGGCCTAATTTTTAGGATGTGTGGCGCAGATTATGTGTGTCTAAAGAACAGCAATGTTGAAAATAGCAGGGTACCAGACACTAGGAGTACTAGACAGTGGCATAAAAGCCAGCAGGATCTCATTCCGTACACCTGGATCTCCCAGAGGCTTTTGATACCACTGATCACAGTATCTTCCTGGAGAGGCTCTTGGAGGTCAGGATCAGCAATCTGGCATTGACCTCGCTTCAATCTTTCCTCAAGGGCCATGTCCAGAGTTCAGCTTGGGAATGCTTTGTCAACATTCTGGACCCTCAATTGTGGTGTGCCCCAGGGGTCTCCAATAGCCCCAATGCTACTTAACATCTATGTTAAGCCGCTTGGGGGGGGTGCGGTCATCTTGAGATTTGGAGTAAGGTGTCATCAGCATGGTGAGGACATCCAGCTCTAGCTCTACTTTACCACAGCAATAGTGGGTTCCATCCAGTCACTCAAGCGATGCCTGGCTATGGTACTGGAATAGACCAGGGCAAAAAGAATGAACCTGAACCTGGACAAGACTGGGGCAAGGAGGTCCGTCAAAATGTTGGGGAGGGTGTCCCTGGACTGTTGACCTCCTGCATAGGGACCACGTTCAGAATTTGGGCATGCTTCTGGTCATGGTTCTTTCTTGGGATGCCCAGATTGCTGGCTTAGGCGTTGGTCATTGCAGCAGATCAACTGCTGCCATGCTCTCTCTTGAGGCTGGCCTGGAAACTCTAGAGGGTCCGGAGTGCAGCAGCCAGATTGGTGGTTGGGGTGAGTATATATATATGATGGCATCATCCCAGTTCTGGTTTGACTCTACTGGTTACCCGTGGAATCCCAGATCAGGTTCAAGGTTTTGACTGTCACATACAAATCCCTCCACAGTTTGGGCCCACGTTACAGGTTGGAGCATCTTGCCTCAATGTCAACTGCCCGATTCACCAAATCATCGCAGAGGAGGCTCCTCCAGGTAGCCACCCCAAGGGAGGCCCATAAATCTTCTACAAGAGTAGGGCCTTCTTTGCGGTGGCTCCATCTTTGTGAAATTAGGTCCCAGAGCAGCTTTGCCTGGCCTCCTCCCTGGCGACATTAAGAAGCAACTGAAGATCTGGCTCTTCAGCGAGGCCTTCCACTCTAACCCTAGTTGAGTTGAGGTACAATTCCATCTCTCCATTCAGTTGTTGTCTGTATCTTTGTTATTTTTTCTGTTTTATGCAGTGTTATTAATGCTTGAACACCCTCTGTTTTTATATGGTTAGACTGCTCATGGTTTTTAATACTATTTGATTCTGTATTTTATGTGAACTGCCTAGAGTAGTGCTGTGGCACAGCAGGTGTGGCATATTAAATGGAAATACCTACCTACTTACCTCCCTACCTCCCTACCTACATACATGCATACATAAACCTGGTACCTGACTTTTCACCTACTGTCTTAAATATGCACTTGATAATTCCATACTGAAAAGAGTGCCTTAATCAATTTATTATTCTCTCGGCAGCTCTCTCTATATTTAGTTTCCCTGAGTAGAGTTCAGCACAGGGCAAAAGTACTTGAATCCTCACTGCTGTCACAGGTTGGGGTTAAAAATATGGGCAGGAAGACAGGAGATCAGCTGACCAATGCTGTTTCTGATATCTTCCTCATCAAGGCTGCTGGGGGTAGTGGTGAGGCTGGCATGGACGGGGGCTGGAGATGTCACAGCTTCGGTTCCGCCATCTGAATTAGGCTCAGTTCTTGCCTCTGTTTGGAAAGTTGTTGTGGGCACCCTGACCACAGGTGGCCTTGTGGGGGATGCACTCTGAGTTCTGGGAACTTGTGTGGTGGCCTCAGCTAATGTTTTCATTGTCCATCTGGTATCTTCTGCCTTTGACCTATGGATGGAGGAAGCTTCAGCTGCTGTTGTGGTTTCTACAGATGTTGAAAAACTGCCACTGGTAAAAAAGACTGATGATGGTGTTGGCTCAAAAGAGGGAGGAGTGATGGCAGAAGGCACTGGGGGCTCTGTAGCTCTAGTTGTGGTCACAGAGGCTTCTTTTTCAACTGGTGTAGTGCTTGTAACTTGCCCCCTCGTGACTTTATTGTTCTGGTGAAGACGTGGGCCTTCCACAGGTGGTGGCTTCCTGGTGGGAGTATTTAACAGGTAGTTGTGTTGCAAAAGTTGATCTTCAATCAGCAAATCAATTGCATCTCCACTAAAAGGCTCATCTTCTGCAAGAGACAGAGTAAGAACAAGGGTTCACTATTCCCTCCTGAATGCAGTAGGGATGGGAACAGTATCAGAAACAAAATGAGGACAGGGTTTAATCAAGCATCCTTGGGCAAACAATAAAAGACAGCTGGTGTACAAGGCAAAGTTCTCAACCTCCTCTTTCATTCCATTCCCATAAGCCTCTTTTGTTCACTTAAATGCCAGTACGCCTAAAGCACTTAAAATCTAAGGAATGTGTGGGCCAGTTCTTACGAATTTAACATCTGATAATCAAACTGGGATGGCGGGAAGAATGTGGAATTCTTCTTGACTTCAGAAGGCCATAGTACATATGGTACATTCAATTGTTTCATGCTGGCATAACCCTGTTCCTCAGTTGCTTCATACATATAGCCCTATTTTCCCATTAGTTCAAAAAGCTTCTGACTTAGCCACAGAATGATTATTCTTTTTAACATGGACCCTGTGTTTAAAAAACAAGGTGACATTAACAGGTCGTGTTCATGACAATTAGACAAAGCTGCATGAATGAATTTATTATTTATTATAGTCGTGTGACCAGCTGATAAAACTATTTATGGCTAAATATACAAAATGCAATTTTAAAATGTACAATAAATTTGCATGACACATTTTATTCCTAGTGCTCCATAAATTGGCAAGATGTACAGTCCCCAGAGGAAAAGAATGGTAAACCTCTTCTGAGCACTCTATACCTAGAAAATCCTGGCAAGGATCACCCTAAGTCTGAGTCAACTTGATGACACTTCATTATTATTTATAATTGTTCTGTTAGATCAAAAGATCAACTTACGTTCTTCAAGGTCATTTTCCATTTCAGGATCTGTAGCCTTATAGTAAGTAACTCCTCTGATGATAGTTGGCCAGGATGGAGTCCGGCTCCTCACGTGAAGTTTTCTCGGCAAAGTGGACTTTGGATTTGTTGCTCCTGGGGCTGGGGGGGCATAGCGCAAGGACTCCACTGAGCTGATTTGCTGAGAAGCCATCTCGTCATGCAAGAAAACGTCTTCATATTTTTCCTTGAAGAGACAAACCAGCGCTAGTTTAAACTAAGGCTAGATGACTCAACATGCACGCATTTATGTCTTGTTTGTTAATTCACAAAGGTATTTCTCCTAGCAAGTGCATCCAAGAGGTTTTATAAAACAAAATACAGGGGAAAAACCACAAGAGACTATAATAAGTTTATTAAAACACTATTAAAACAAACCAAATCAATACCTTCCATCTCAAATTAAAATCCCATCTACATGTCATAGTGGATGGATCTAAATGAACCTCCCTTTGGAGGTAGTTCCACAGTTGGGATTTTATCACAAAAAAATGCCATGTTCCTACCAAATTGAAGCTGGACATACAAAAGGGCTTCAACAGATTATTAATAATCCACAGCTGAAAGATCTATTTCTCCATTAAGACTCCCCAAACTCATGAATGTAAGTAAAATAGGACCAAGACAGAGGAGCTTTGCTAGGTCAGTAATTTGGTATATGAGCAATTAACCAGTTTTCTTTCTCCCCTAAATCCTCAAAGTCACTGGCTGAAAATATGAGACTCTCTGCATCAAGCATCTGTCAGAGCCTCCGAGCAAAAGCACAGGACAGATGGAATGATGCCTTTCTACTGGACCAGCCAGTCTGGTTGTTAGCACTTTAAAAGCTAGCTGGTTCAATTGAAGATACCACCTCCCCTGCTTTAGACTTAAATTTGATAGCAGACAGAATCTGGTACCCCCAGAATCCCATTTTCATTGAAAGCGGTGAGGCTTTATATTGGCATTTCTAGTGCTCAAGGCACTGAGGAGGATAGATAAAAGATCAGACAGTTGGGGGGGGGCATACGGGGTTGCGGCCCTCACCTCGGTCAGGGTGTAGGCTGCTGCAGCATCCCTCTGCAGTGAATTCTCGATGTCAGGACGGTTGCTGGACATGCTACTGGAAGAGTTCATCTCATCTTTAACATCTATCTCTTGCAAACTCTCCTCTGCATTCTGCCTCTTCTGTTTACTGTCCTTGGTGAGGTTTCTAGACACCTCCTAGAGAATGCACAGGAGAAAGAGAATATGCACAGAAGACATTCAGTGTTTCAGTTTACACATTATAGAGCAAAAGTGTAAAAAGAACTGACTTTCCTTCAGTTCCAGAAAGCTCCCTCTGCCCACAACAGCCAGCTGCCCTCACCAATATCAGAAATATTTCTATTCCACCTTTCTACCAATCATGACCAAGGCTGCTATTAAAAGTAATAAATATAAGGATGATGAGCAATCAACAGTGCCACACAGACTGTAAAACAGACTGGGCGATTGGACCTGGGTTTAAAAAAAGGAAACAAGATGAAAAACAGTAAAAACCTGTAACTAAAAACTGCAAGATGTCAAATTCAGTGTATGACCAATAAAGATGTAGGGTAAACAAGACCAAACAGTGGATACAATATGTTAAAATA